TGGTCTCCCGTATCAACTGAAGAATCTCCCAGTCGAAGTTGACATAGAATTTGCGTCATCAGGATGTCGGACATCAGTGTAGCATGGAGCCCGCTCTTGGCAACCTCGATTGAGTTGAGCCATGCCTCATACCACAACGTCTCGAACTCGACCAAAGTCTTCGCCATCTTGTTGTACATTCTGATGATTTTGCGAGCATCCTTGCTTTGGAGAATAGTCGGATTCTTCTGAAAGCGTTTCATCGGCCCTTCGATTCGCCGGAGCAGATGACGACTCCATGTAATGTTACCCGCGACCGGAGGCAAATTTCTCACTAACGGCGGTGACGCTTTCAGTTTCTCATAAGAATCTTGAATCTGTGTCAGTTCTACACCGTAATTGTGAAAGATGACAGTGTACTTGCTCTCGAGATCGGCCTTGAGGCTCTCACGCTGCAAAATCGATTGGTAGCTCTTCAGCAAGTTTAGACTGGACTCGATAGAAGTGATGCTCTCGAAGCTCTGATTGATGAACTGCTGTAGTGCGCTCTCTAGGTCGGCAATCCGGACGTTGAATTCGACATAATCGCGATCGAACCGGTTGTTGTGGAAATCTAGAAGGTCATGTCGTTTGTTCCGGAACTCCTCCATAATGGTGCGGGAGCTGACCACTAGTTGTTCCATACCGTCAAACCGACACGCGGCCAGTGACTCGAATTGATGGACGGTCGAGAACATATCCACTAGCTTGAGCACGCGGCGGCAGAACAGGTCAAACCTCCCGAAAATCTGAGTCTCCGAGAAGTCAAACTGCTTTCCCTTCGGTAGCGCTAGGAGCTTCTTCCTATTGAAATGGTACTGTTCTTGGTATACCTCGTTGAGATTGAGACAAGCCCGGAGCTTCTTTATCAATACTACAGGCTTCGTCTCCCACAGCTTGTCCGGATGCTCATCGCCCAATAAATAGGCCTTGCAGTTGATGATCATCTGGTTGGTCATCTTGGTGAACAAATTAGTCAATCTTTCAGTCGTGTTGTAGTATCGGGCAATGGTATATACCATCTTGATAGCGTTAAGCAATGCTGGTAGAGAGTCCGA